CAAAAGAACCAGAGGAAAAGGTGAGTAGGTTTCTTGTGGTTCTTCTAAAAACTCTACCAAAAAGGCAATTTACCATTATTGCTTCATCAATATTTTGTTCTATTTCATTTTATTTAGCAACAGGGTCTCACTCTGTGGCCCAGCTGGCATAGAACTCACTATGTAGCCCAAATGGTCTTGAACTCAAGACAGTCCTTCTGCCTCAGCTTCCCAAGAACAAAAATTGGACATGCTTATTTTACAGAAAATAAGTATTATACTAATTCAGGTTTAAGTAGTATTTACTGACTACTAACTATTCAAATTAAACTTATTTTTATAAGACACATGAAAACTCAATTAAGTTGGTGGTATTCAGATGGGCAATAAAATTGCTGAAGTGGCAGAACAGAAAAATACCTCTGTCATTAAGCGTTTTAGTCCTTCAACCTCATCTTCTCCTGGGTTAAGTTCACCACCGGGTCTGTAAAAAGGTTAAGAATTTCAGCTTTCAATTTAATACAATTTGGGAATAATAGCAAGAATACAATAATTATAGTTTCCATCAAGTAAGTGAGCAAGACCTCTTTCAGTACCATCTGATAAACAATCAAATAAGGACCAAAGGTGGCAGATGTGCTGTAAAGTTGAACCCATAATGTTAGGTACCAAACCATCATATACAATCCTAGTTTTTAACAGAATATATATATATAAAATGGAATCACTGGCCAGCAATCCAGAGCCTCCTCACAGGAAAGTTATATATAATGGAGTCTAGCAAATTCCCAGAGAACAAACAGACTACATTCTTTATGGTACATTTCTCAAAAATAACAATTTAGTTTTGAGGCCTTTCTTTTTAGCACTATATTATTGGTGGACAAGTACATATTTAAAGAGTTATGGACTCAAGTGATTAAGCTACATGAAAACAACTGCTTCTAGAAACTGAGCTTGGACTGATCTAGTTTAAGGATATTAACAATATATAAAAACATGCAGATTTTAGTCCGATGAGCGCAGTGCACCCCTTTAATCCCAGCGCTTGGGAGGCAGAGGCAGGCAGATCTCTATGAGTTCAAGGACAGACTGGTCTACAGAATGAATTCCAAGACAGCCAGGACTGTTACAAAAAGAAACCCTGTCTCTAGAAACAAACAAACATGAAAATGCAGGTATCTTCTTTGGAAAAGAAATAAGCACTACACTGGAGAAGAACCATGACTGTTTCTTTTCAAGACTCTTTCACAGTATTTGTTTAAATGAAAAGGGCTAAAATGTTCAACACCACTTACAATTTGAAGAAAGTTGTTCCCAGCTGTAACAGTAACACATGGGGTAGCCGGTGCTCATGTACAATCAGAACCCCTTCTACAGTCCTTCTCATCCCAATTTTATCAAATTCCTCCCGCATGCGCTGGAATCTGGCTGCAACAGAGCTGTCCTTCTCATAGAGGGGCTCTTTTGTACCAAAGGTATAATTGGTAAGCGGGTACCTGTGAAGCAAAGACAAGCGTTTAGCATGAGAACAGATGGTCTTACTTACCAGAACAGTTCAAAATAACATCAAAAAAAAAAAAAAAGTCTCCGGGTAGTGGTGGCGCATGCCTTTAATCCCAGCACTCAGGAGGCAGAGTCAGGCGGATCTCTGTGAGTTTGAGGCCAGCCTGGTCTACAAAGCAAGTTCCAGGACAGCCAAGGCTGTTTCAGAGAAACCTTGTCTAAAACAAAACAAAACAGGTGGTCAAAGCTACATTGTGCTCAAAGACAACTAGCCCAAAGTTTCATAACCAGCTAGGAGATAGCAAAGATCAGAATACTGTTGCTTTCTGGACTCTTGAAGCCAGAACTTCCATGTGTTAAGCACAGACAGCACTGCCCTACTAAGGTCCCTGAAATGCTTATCAAAGTGGATATCCATACTTGTTTTAGATCATTTCATGACACTAACACCAAATAACTAACCTGGTTCTTCTGATTAACCTAGTTATAAATTCTATTAACTAACTGGCACTAATAGCTAATCTCTTTTCTCATATATGCTGAGCCACCACTGTTTGTTAACATCTCCTTTTTTTCTTTTAATTTTTTAAAAAATGTGTTTTTGTACACGCATACATATGGTGTTCTATGACATGTGCACAGAGGTCAGAGGATAACCTGTGTGAGTCTGTGCTCTCCTTTTATCAAGTGGGTTCTGGGGATTGAACTCACATCATCAATCTCGGCAGCAAGCACTTCTACCTGAAGAGCCACCTCACTGATCCCACTGCAATTATTTTCTGTTTCTCCCAGTTGGCAATATTCAGATTTTTCTAGTTCCTTTTCAGATTAACTTTTTTTCTTCCTCTGGCATGCTTGTTTTTTGAAACAGAGTTGGCCTGGAACTCACTTTGTAGACCAGACTGGTCTTGAACACAGAGATCTGTCTGTCTTTCCCTCCCAAGTGCTGGGACTAAGGTAAGGATACGCATCACTACAGTGGCTTAGACCTGTTTTCTTTTTCCCTCTGAGACTTCTTAAGACTTCTGCATTTACTCTATCCAGTATACTTTCTTCTACCCATATCTAAGATGAATAGCCTCTTTTCCTGATCTAGAATCTAAAATAAGATTTAAAGGGCTAAAAACTTCATCTTGCTTAGTAAAGATCAAACTTTCCTTAAGGTTCAAAATCCACATTTATATTCACACATTCTAACTTGCAGCCCCTTGATTATAGTTTTTTTTTTCAAAAATAATGTTTGAATTGAACATGGCTAATCCCCTCATTTATCCCCTCCCCCCCAAAAGTGCTTATCAAGGAAGCATGAGGACTTAAATTCAATCTCCAGCACCCAACAAAAACAAAGAAACAAACACTCAACTAGCACCAAACAAACCAAATATGAGCATGGTGACCCAACAGGCTCCCGTTGTAGATCCCAGAGACTGTATTATCAAACAAGGTGGAAGATAAGAACCGACACTCTGTTCTGACTTCCTCCACACATGTGCAGATACACACACCCACACCTACAAGTGCACACATCTGAATCAAAGCATATAGCACCCGTGTGCAACACATACAAAACTTTTGATATTAATAGGCAACCACATACTCTCAGTTGTTCTTCAAAAGGGAAATCAAGGTAACCAAGAGAAAAACATTAATTCCAGAAGTCAAATTCTAAGCATAAAGTAGCTCTGAAATAATGAAAATATGCCATTTTCAAGAGTCTTTAAAGACTACAGATAACTGCAGTAGATCCAATAATGAATCCTATCATTATTAGGAAGAAGTTACTACACATAGCTTTACGTACTGCTTTATGTATGCTGACGTTTGGTTTTCCCAACTTGCGTTAGAAAGAATTAAGACCAGCCACAAAAAATTTCTGTTGCAATGGCTATTTCCTACATCACAAGATCTCAGCAGAATGAAACGTTAGACTTTCCGGCTGTGAAATCTGAGTACCAGCCCACATAGAGCACACTCTCCACATCACACTGTGAGCATTTCACTGCATGCATCCACCTTACTTGCTCATCTGGACACCTAGCCATGTGTATGCACACATGTGCTACAAAAGTCACCCATCTGGTTTTGCGTAAATGAAAATACACTGCAGAAACAAAGATTTGCTTCTCATTTACTAGATAATTCACCCAGGTGAGCTCACATTCACAGCACTTTCTCAGCACTGCATTTACACAGGAAAAGTAACATGCTCACCTGAAAAACATCTCTGAAAGCACAGCTACTCAACAGTTCTGCACAATGGCCTGATGGAAGCTGATCCAGGAACCAAGGGAAGGATATATAAAACCCACGATCCTGGCCTATCACAAAAGGAATGCAGAACTTGTGCTGTCAGTTCTCACATTTTGAGGTGCTTGGAGATGGATCTTGGGCCTTGCCCACACTAGGCAAACTCTCTGCCAGTTAGCAAGCCCCTCCTACTGAGTGACCTGTATGCCAATCCCGACTTCTTGCTACAGCAACATTTTTTTTTTTTTAAAGAGAGATCTCGAAAAGCAATGATTTGCTTAAGAGGAAGGTGTGTTGGGAGGGGGGAAAAAAAAAAGCCTGTCTGCAAATAGGCTTTCTAGGCAATTAAGTAAGATACCTCCAACAGTCTAAAAGAACACCACACAACAAAGCGTGTCCTCTCAATCTAGGACTACTGGGTGCCTGCGATGACAATGTCACTTCAGTAGACAAGACAGTACGAAAATGAAAATGTGGTCACCTGATGGAATACTACACAACACTTAAAAAAAAAACCCTACGCCTATAGAGGTAAATCTGGAAAACTTACTGTAAGAAAAGAACACCCTACAAAATTAGTTATCCATCTCAAATAAAAACAGATACATGTGCAATGAAAACACCAACAATGGATTCAAAGAACATACACATTATGATGAATTCAAAGCAAACGTGGGTTTTAACCATGACTGAATAAAGGCAAAGGCAAACTGCCAAATCGGGGGCGAGAAAGAGGTCGGGGAGAGGGAAGCGCGCATCCCGGAGGGACATCTTGCAAACCGGGTGAGCGAGGGCGCTCGGGGAGCAGTTTGCCCGCCGAGGCCTCGCCGTACTTACAGGTTAATGGTGCGCTCCAGGGTGAGGGGCTTGGTTTGCTGGATGTACTTGTTGCCGAACTGGTTGACCCCCCGGGGCCAGCCCGTCTGCGAGCGATTCGGCGGCACCACAGACATGCTGAACAGCTCCGACACCGGCGACGTGCAGAAGGCGGGGGCCAGGGGAGAAGTCCGCAGGGCGGGCAGCGGTTATCTGCGTCCCGCTCAAAAGCCGCCGCCCGCCATTAACAGTCGAGAGCAAGAGGAGCTGAATGCCCACCGGAAGTGAATAGGCTCTGGCGGCAGGAAGTGTGTGTGAAAGGGGGCAGGCCACCGCCACGACTTGGCCAATCGCCGGCAGGATGGCGCAGTATGTTGACCTTCCATTGGTTAATTATGTATAGGTCTGGCCTTCTTATTCTTTGATGCCTTCCCATTGGGTGATGCTGGGACTAGGGAGTGAGGCATTTCGGTAACTGTAGTTTCTGGAGGGAAGTAGCGTCTTGACTTCCCTGATCGTGGTTCAGTGCACGGTGAGGAGATGAACGGGAAGCGGCCCGCGGATCCTGGCCCAGCGCGGCCAATGAAGAAGGGAAAGAAGCAGGTGGCAGCGGAGTTTTCGGACGCTGTCACGGAAGAAACAGTGAGGAAGCAGGTGGCTGAAGCCTGGAACCACCGGACGCCCTTCAGCCATGGTAATGGGGTGCTGTGAGGGAGGAGCGGCCGGGAGGAGAGGCGTGGGAAGGACCATTAGCCACCTCCGACTCCGGCCCCGACTGCTCCTCGGTTCTTTCCAAATTCGATTGATTGGACCAGCCTCGGGAGGAAAATATAGACCTGGGAGTGTGGGGAAGTAAACTCAGGGTTGAGTTCTAGAATCAGGGGTCACTTATAGAATCTGCTGGTTGTACGTCATTGGGCAGTGCATTTAACTTTGCTTAAGCGTCAGTTTCTTTTATAAAACGGCATCGTTGATAGAATTCCCCTCGGAAAGGTAGGATTGAGAAGACTAACGCGTGTAGACATTCATTAGCGTTTCCCTGAGAACCAGTAAACATCTAGCAAGTGTCGCCTCACGCTCTACCAGCACAGACATTGAGAACTGCGGAATAGCTAGTACCTGAAGGTACCAGTTTTCACGTGCGTTGTCACTGGGTTATGTGACGCATGAAACGAAAGGATCTTGAAAGGAACCTTCGTTCCAGACTTAGCTACAATTTATTTATACAACTTATAAATACAGTGCGAATCTGCTGGGTGTGTCTTGAATTTTCTCCCCAAGTCTGTCATTTTTTTTTTTTTGGTTTTGTTTTCTTGTTTGTTTGTTTGTTTCGTTTGAGTGCTTTAAAGAGTCGAATCCTGGGCTCGCTGGACGCAGAGAGAAGGTGAGAGCTTAGTGTTTAAAATGCAAGCTCTGGGTGCGCATAGAGACTTCTCAGTTTCCTCATTTGTTGCATAGGTATAGTGACAAGTATCTATTCCTCAATAGAAGAATAATGAGAAGGTAAATGGGACAATTCCTGTAAAGCACCACTGGGCCAGGCTCTTATGAGGTCAGGATTGGTTGTTAGTCATAGACTGATAATCTAGTGGAGGTGAAATTAATTAGAAGGTTAGAAATCAACTGATAATTCTTTCTTTTTCTTTTTTTTTGGGGGGGGGGGGAGTGGGGATTTGAGACAGGGTTTCTCTGTAGCTTTGGAGCCTGTCCTGGATCTCGCTATGTAGACTAGGCTGGCCTCGAAGTCACAGAGATCCACTTGCCTTTGCCTCCCGAGTGCTGGGTTTAAAGGTGTGCTCCACTACCGCACGACCTATTTCTTTTTTTTTTTTAATATTTATTTATTTATTATGTATACAATATTCTGTCTGTGTGTATGCCTGCAGGCCAGAAGAGGGCACCAGACCCCATTACAGATGACTGTGAGCCACCATGTGGTTGCTGGGAATTGAACTCAGGACCTTTGGAAGAGTAGGCAATGCTCTTAACCTCTGAGCCATCTCTCCAGCCCCGACCTATTTCTTTTTTAAAACGCAGTCTCTTCCTCCCACAGAAAAGTTTGGGAAAGTGAGAACAAGATTGAAGAGAAAATGGCCAGCCACATGGCTCTGGAGAAAATGAGCTAAGAATCTAAAGTGTGATGGGTTGGGGTTGGGGTAGAGGGGTGGAGAGACGCCTCAGAGGTTAAGAGCACTGGCTGCTCTTCCAGAGGCCTGAGTTCAATTCCCACAACCACATGGTGGCTCACAGTCATCTGTAATGGGGTCTGGTGCCCTCTTTTGGCTGGCAGGGATACATGCAGACAGAACACTGTATGCCTAATAAATAAATCTTTAAAAAAGAATCAAAAATGCACTGATGCAAGAATCGGTAAACTAAAAATCTTAAAACAACAACAACAAAATAAGCTGCTGAGCGGTGGTGGCGCACGCCTTTAATCCCAGCACTCAGAAGGCAGAGGCAGGCAGATCTCTGAGTTTGAGGCCAACCTGGTCTCCAAAGCAAGTTCCAGGACAGGACTGTTACACAGAGAAACCTTGTCTGGAAAAACCAAAATCAAAGCAAATAAACAAAACCAAAGACAAAAACAAGAACTTCCATTAGCGCTATCCACTCCGTGCATTAAAAACCGGCATGTAAGCCCAGCATCTGAGAAAGACAGTCTTGAATGAGTGAAGGAATGGACACAACTTATGATTTCTCTCTGAATCTTAGGTTTCCCAAAATATTAGGTTCCTCAAACTCCTGATTGTCTCTCTTTGTATTCGGTCATGTCACCTGGTATAATATGGAGGAGAAGAAAGACAAGGGAAATATTTTTCTTTCAACAGAAGCTATTGTCTTGGACATGGATCCTTTTCTTCACTGTGTAATCCCAAACTTCATCCAAAGCCAAGACTTCCTGGAAGGACTTCAGAAGGAGCTTTTGAGCCTGGACTTCCATGAAAAGTACAATGATTTGTATAAGTTCCAGCAGGTATTTATTCCTGTTACTTTAGCTCTTCCTCCTCAGACAGTCCTTGGCTGGAAAACCATTCATGACTGCTGCTCTTCCAGAGGACCCAGGTTCAGGTCCTAGGACCTATCACGAGGTTCACCAACCTCCAAGAGCACCTATCTGCACATGCTCACAGCCAGATACAAATACATACCTCTAATTTCATTTTTTAAATTCATTGTTTTTAACACTCAAGGCTCTCGATTAGGTTTGTTTTCAAGAGCCTTCACCTTGACATTGATATTCATTCCTTTAACATAAGCAGCTTACTGGGTGTTGGCTGTTAGGATTATGAGGGAGTTGTTACAATGGATTTAAGGGAGGTTTTTGGCAACTTCTGCCCTCCAACATCTAAGGTAATGGAGATGATAGTGACAGGATAGTCAATGCTTTAAGCTAGTGAGTGAGTATATAATAAACAAGTGGGGGGGGGTGAAGTCTTTGCTTTTGTGGCTTGATATGCTGTAGCTAAAGTATTCTGCATCACAGTGTATCTAGCAGAAAGGAAGAATGATTTTGTTCCTCTGGGGAGTGGGTGTGCTGTTTTGATCCCAAAACCTTGTGTCCACTAAGCACACACTCTGTCACTGAGTTGTACCCCAACTCCCCATTCTTTTCTGGTAGACAGTATAATTTAGTTTTTAAAAAGGCTATCTTGAAATCAGCAATTTTTTTTTCTACTCTTAGAAGACAGCCCTTACTAGGTGGTGAAAGCACAAACCTTTAATCCCAGCACTCAAGAGGCAGAGGCAGGTGAATTCAGACCAGCCTGGTCTACGGAGCAAGTTTTAGGACAGCCAGGGCTACACACAGAGAAATCTTGTAGGGAGGTACGGGGAGAGATCCCTGTCTAGCACAGAAGTACAAACCACTGGTGTCATCAGTGTGGGGTCATCTTAGTACAGGGACCACTCACTCTCATAGGCTGTCAAGAGTTTAAAAATTCCACAAAGGGCTGGAAAGGGAGCTTAGCAGTTGAGAGCACTGACTCCCCTTCCAGTGGACCTGCGTTCCAGTCACAGCACCCACATGGCTGCCCACACCCATCTATAACTCCACTCGCAGGAAATCCAGCACCCTCTGCTATCCTTTAAGGGCCCATGTGATACACAGACCTACATGCAGACAAAGCATCCATACTCATAAAATAAAATCAAAATATTTTGAAAATTCAAAAATGATGAAGTAGATGAAAAATTATCTTTGCTTTCTTTGCCTTTCCCCTTAGATTTTATCTCGAATAAGAGACTACTAACATCTGATTCTTTTATGTTAGAGCTGGTCATCTGGTCAGCTGACAGCATCCTACTCTAATGTGTAGACCTTGTACATATGTTTTATGACCGACACAACACCTACTATGCTTCAGAGGCAAAGAATCCTTGATCTTTTGGAAGCATTTGCACTCCTCCTCCTTCCTAAAGCCATATTTTCATCTTCCTTTCAGGATACTATGCTGCCTTAGTTATTTTTCTATTGCTGTGAAGAGACATCATGACCAAGGCATCTTATAGAAGGAAGCATTAATGGGGGCTTACAGGTCCAGGAAATTAGAGTCCATGCCCGTCATAGTGGGGAGCATGGCAGCAGGCAGACAGGCATGGTGCTGGAGCCGTAGCTGAAAACTCAGATTTCATCCACTATAGAAATGGTGTGAGCTTTTGAGCCATCAACATCCATTCCCAGGGACACATTTCCTCTGACAAGACCACACCTCCTAATCCTTCCCTGTAGTCCACCAACTGGGAACTAAGCATTTAAATATATCAGCCTATATCAGCCATTCTCATTCAAACTATTACACATACTCTCTCCTTTAAAAAGAAAAAAAGATGTATGTATTATGCATACAGGGTTCTGCCTGCAGTCCAGAAGGGGTCACTGGCTCTCTTTATGGATGGTTATGAGCCACCCTACGGTTGTTGGGAATTGAACTCAGGACCTCTGGAAGAGTAGCCAGTGCTCTTATCCGCTGAGCCATCTCTCCAGCCCAACACATACACTCTTAATTTTCCCTCTTTATTATAGAGCACTTTCTCTTAATTTTCTTTGCTAAGTCTTCCCCTTATAACCAACATTTTTTGTTAATTAATTTATTGGAAGGGCATGGTGGGAGGGACAGTCAGAGGACAACTATGTGGAACACCATGATCCTCTCTTTCCACCTTTATGTAGGTTCTGAGTATCAAACTGGTCAGCATATTTGCACACAAGTACTTTTACACACCTAGCCATCTTACCAGTTCACATAACCAACTTCCTGATGAGGCCGTCTTAATGCCAGAATACTCTAGGCTTTGATCCCTGAATTAAGATTGAGTACAGATTTCCATGCAGTCTCATGGCTTTCTGTCTCCTTGGATGTCTAGGAGGAGTCTCAGGCGTACATTCAACACTAAACTCCTAATCTCCCTCCTCTAATTCTGTTGTTCCTCTCAACCTCAGATCAAAATGAGCCATTCTTTTTATTTTAGATTTATTATGCTTACAGTGTTCTGCTAGCATGTATGCCTACATGCCAGAAGAGGGCACCAGACCTCATTACAGATGGTTGTGAGCCCCCTGGTGGTTGCTGGGACCTGAACTAGGACCCCTGGAAGAGCAGCCAGTGCTCTTAACCTCTGAGCCGCCTCTCGAGCCCAAAATGAGTCATTCTTAATTCCGTGTTCACCCCTCATGTCCCATCCACTGAGGACACTTTCTTCACTGCCTCTCAGAACACTTGCTACACTTCCAGCATCAACAGCAGTCGCCTCCCAAGCTGTCTCACTGTGATGTTGTTTCAGTGTGTTAGCTAGTCTCTTACCTCCACCTGCTTCTAGAACTGTCACCATTTTGTTCTTTTCATGTAAGTGAATTCGAGAGAATTGGAAAATATATGCCCACATAAAAACTTGCTCACAGGGGGCTGGAGAGATGGCTCAGAGGTTAAGAGTATTGCCTGCTCTTCCAAAGGTCCTGAGTTCAATTCCCAGCAACCACATGGTGGCTCACAACCATCTGAAATGAGGCCTGGTGCCCTCTTTTGGACTGAAGAAAGAATACTGTATATATAATAAGCAAATAAATAAATATTTTTTTTTTAAAAAAAAAAACTTGCTCACAGATGTTCATGGAAGCACTGTTATAGGAGCAACCAGACATTACCCACGGATGGATGAGTAAACAAAATGCAGTTTGCCCATCTAGTGGATATGGTTTGATCATAAAAAGTAAGTCAGAGCTGCAACATGGACGAACCTTAGAAACATTTTGCTAAGTATGGAAGCCAGTGTGGCTCTGGGACCACTGAGATGGTTACCACTGAGTTCAGAACCCACTTAAAAAAGCGAGCTATGGTCACAAGCATCTGTAATTTCAGCCTCTGGTGAGACAGGAGGTACAGACAAGAAGCTTGTGGGCCAGTTAGAAGTATGCAGTGCAGTAGGAACAAGAGAGACTTTTCCTCAGCAAAGTGGAAAAAAGAGAACTGAACCCAGATGTTGTCCTGTGACCTTCACATGTGCGCATGGCACAGCCATACCTACACTTTCACATACAGTAATACACATACAATTACTGCTTATAATAAATATAAATAAATGTATAAAATAAGCCAAACTCAAAGTGTTGTATATTATATGATTTCTTTTAAATGTCCAGAAAAGGCAGATAGGCCCATAGAAACAAGAAATAGGGTGATGTTTGTTAGGAGCTGGTAGTAGAAAAGATGGACCTCAACTGTCTAGTAGATACTAGATTTTATTTTGTACTGTTAAATTATGGACTTATGTAGCATGTTTGACTGCATAATGAATGTGTGAAACCCATGGAATTATATACTTTTAAGTGATTAAAATGCTAGATTCTGTACTATGGGGCTTTTTCTCTTAAGATATTACCTCATGTCCCTCCTTTGCTTGAAAACTAATGACTCTTCTTTTCCTTGGGTAAAAGCCACAGTACATTATTGGCTGTGGGCCGACAGTGCCCCCATCAGACCCTTGATCGCCACCTGTTGCTCTCCCATTTGCATTTCCCCTAGCCGCTTAGTCTCGCCTCAGTATTTTGCATAAATTTCGCTTTTCCTCACTGACGTCTACCGTGGCTCACCTACTCATAATTGCAGACCCTTTCCTATTCTCAGCACTGCCCACTCCTCTCTCTCTGTTGTCTTTTCTTATGCACTTGTCACCTTTATGCTAATAAATTACATTTTATGTTTACTGTATGTCTCCTTCAACAAATGTAAGCTTCTCTGTAGTAACTACTTCAGTATTTGCTGAATGAATAACGTGCAAAGATACTAAGTCACCTACCCACATCATAGCTGCAAGATAAAGGGGTCATGTGTCAGACCTATTAGTTCTCTTCAGTCTAGGCGCTTAGCCACCATGTTCTACCAGAGTCCTCACTGTTGTTCTTTGCATCCATATACTGTAACAAGATGTAACAAGGAAATCCTTTTTTTCTTCTATGATGAAGTCTGATGATTTGAAGAAGAGCAAAGAGCCTCATATCTCAGCTTTAAGGTAAGCAAATCATATTTGTTGGGTGCCAGATGTATGTTAGGCAGAGCACTGAGTGCTTTAAATGTTAATTCATCCAATCTTTGTTGACATGATTGCATTTGGTAAAGGAAGAAATAAACCCTAAGAAACTTAAGTAACTTCTTCAAGACAACCCAACAAAGATACAAATTCAAGTTGGATTGCTTGCTTAATCGCTTGATCATCCTTCCTTCCTTCCTCCCTCCCTCCCACCGTCCCTCCCTCCCTCCCTCCGTTCTTTCTTTCATCTTTCCTCCTTCCTCCTTCCCTCTCTTCCTTCTTTTTTTCCCGTCCTTGTGGTTAGGATCTCAGGCAGGCCTAGGATATACTATGTATGTTGCTCAGGTTGGCCTGAAGGTCACAGAAGTCCTCCTGCCTCAGATTACCAAATGCTGGGATTACAAACATGAGTCACCATTCCTGGCTTCAAATTCTTTTTTTTTTTTAAATATTTGTTTATTTATTATGTATACAATATTCTGTGTGTATGTCTGCAGACCAGAAGAGGGCACCAGACCTCATTACAGATGGTTGTGAGCCACCATGTGGTTGCTGGGAATTGAACTCAGGACCTTTGGAAGAGCAGACAATGCTCTTAACCACTGAGCCATCTCTCCAGCCCCTGGCTTCAAATTCTTAATAATAAAATGTTTGTCTTTTTTTGTTGTGAAGGAAACAAAGTAACAATGGAGACAGCATTGTCTGCTCATGAAACTAGGAAGTGATGAAAATTAGAACTCCCTTGACCAAATAGATACATTTTCATCACTTCAGTCCTTTAGAAGATGATGTATCAAACACTTAAAAGTATGCATTTAAATAATTATTAGCCGGGCATTGGTGGTGCACACCTTTAATCCTAGCACTTGGGAGGCAGAGGCGGGTGGATCTCTGTGAGTTCGAGACCAGCCTTGTTTACAGAGTGAGTTCCAGGACAGGCTCCAAAGCTACACAGGGAAACCCTGTCTAGAAAAACAAAAACAAAAACAAACAAAAAAATTATTGTGTTTATGAGTGTTTTGCCTGCATGTATGCATTTGCCCCATATGTAGGCAGTACCACCCATGGACATCAGAAGATGTTGGAGCCCCTCAAACTGGAGTTGCAGATGGTTGTGAGCTACCAAGTAGGTTCTGGGAACTGACCCTAGGTTCTCTGCAAAAGCAGCTGGTGCTCTTAACCAGAGCCATCTCTCTAGACCTGAAAGTATGCACATTTTGTAAAAGTAATTCTAAGAACTGACCATGACAAAGCAAAGACGTACATGAAGATTCCATACACAAACTCTGCAGCCATGAGTACGTGTGTGGAATAAACAAGAGTCACACTTTGTTTGTCAATAAAGTCAACGATACTTTTTTAAAAATCTCTGAAACCTAGTGTTCTCTATAGTTGTTGTATTTTTCTAGATGAATTAGCAATATTTTCTCCCCTTAGGGATGTCTAAGAGGATAGTTATTATGACCAAAGACATCTTAGGTCTTTGGAATATACTGTTTTCAAAAGGAAAGAGTGTGCTATAGAAATAAACTGTTCATCTGTGTACAAACTGAGAGACTTAGAAATAGACTAATAGGAGTACAAAATTTTTTAAAAAAACATTTTCTTTCTACTTATTTATTTTTTATTATTTACTTATTTATTTCTATAATGAGCACATGCTTTATTTTTTTAAAAAAATTATATTTATTATATATACAGTATTCTGTCTGCATGTGTGCCTGCAGGCCAGAAGAGGACTGGGGTTATAGTTATGTACCACATGTCCAGCTAAAAGTTTTTAATTATCAGAGTTATCTTTATTTCAGAGTTGACTGGCTGAACTAGTTATAACTTGTATTAAAGAGACTTCTACACAAAGGACCAGCTTAGCTTATAATGGAAATATTCATTAACTTTTCTTATTTACACCTTGCTAGCATCAGAACATCTACAGATGTTGTTGATTGTGTGATTGATTTAGTATTTATTTTTATTACAATTTAAAGTCATTTGGGCCAGTGAGTTGACTCAGCTGGAAAAGGTGCTTGCTACCAAGACTGATGACCTGATTTTAATTCCCAGTACACACATGGTAGAAGAAGAGAGCTGAGTTCTACCTATTGTCCTCTTACCTTCACACGTGTTGTGCACGCATGCACAAATAAATAAGAGTTTTGGAAAGATCATTTTGTGATCTCCTGCAGCTGCTCGCCCTGTTGTTTATTAAATGACTACTAGGGTTACTGGAGCCCCTAGCACTCACATCTTACTCTTGACCCAGCTTCTTGTCTGTGAAGAAAAAAGGGGCGTAAAATGCATCAGATGGGGAAATGAGTTTGTGTACAGTTATGTCCCAGAAGTGAAGAGAGCTGTTCTCAGTTGGATTCTACCCTCCCCATGGCACCGTTACATTTTTAGAAAGGACACAATAAAAGCTAGGAAAGATGCACATGTAGATTTAACCAAAGCGGGTTTAGAAAAAGACAGTTCAAAAATCTTAATTTCAGCCTGGCAATGGTGGTACATGCCTTTAATCCCAGCACTTGGGAGGCAGAGACAAATGGATCTCTGTGAGTTCCAGGCCAGCCTGATCTACAGAATGAGTTCCAGGACAGCCAGAGCTACACAGTGAAACCCTGTCTCAAAAATTGCATACATATACACATACATACATACATACATACATACATACATGTGTGTATATATTATATTTCTCCTAAGATCAAGGGCACATCACTGCATTAGTATTAGTGCTTATGATACTGAGATTTATAACAAGAAATGCATATTTGATCTTCATCCCCATTGCTGACAACAAGCTCCTAAAATTTAGAATTTAAGTGTTGAGATTAGTAAAGGTGAATGGAGTCTCTTTAGTTAGGGAAAAAAAACTCTACCACACTTGAGCTTATGGTAATGGGCAACCCCAAAGGCTGGAGAAGAAGGGACAGTAGCCAAGAAGATAACTAAGAATGTAGCTCTCAGCTCTAACCATTCCAGTCTCCAGGGAAAGCACGGAGGATAGTTAGATGAGGTAGGATTGCTACAAGTTTTAGAGTCTAGCCTGGGCTACATAGTATGTTGTAAGCCAAGCCTGGGCTCCAAAGCAGGACCTTGTTTCAAAGAGAAGGACTGACAGTTGGCTGGATGCATCCCCAGTGGCCTGTGGTTCGTTTAGTCAACTGTGTCTATGTAGGAAAGCGTCCATAAGTTCCCAAGGTGACAGGGAGGTGGGAGAGAGGTTCTGTTTTCTCTCCAGGACTCTATGCTGTGAATCTTTTATATTTGGCTCTTCCTGAGTTGAATCACTTTTAAAAAAAAATAATTATTGTTGTTTTTAGTTGAGTTCTTATGTGTGTAGATGCCCCCGGAGGCCAGAGAACATTAGATCCCCTGGAACTGGAGTTACAGATAGTTGTGAGCTTCCTAATGTGGGTGCTGGGAACTAGACCCAGGTTATATGCAAGAATAGGAAGTGATAATTAACCACTGAGCCATCTCTCCAACCCCTGAGTTGTGTCATTTTATATTAAACTGGTGAGACAGTATTTAAAAAATTACCTAACAAATGATCCAACTTAAGGAGGGTACTGTGGGGACCTCCTGTTTATACCCCATCAGCACAGCTCATGAGTTGGTCCTCTGACTGGTCCTGAAGGTGGGGCCAATCCTGTGAGACTGAGCCCTTAATCCTGTAGATTGTGTAAGAATGGAGCTGAGTTTTAAGGTGTCCTTATTGTTTCCAAAAATAGATAGGTAACAGGGAAAACTCCACTTATTTGATGTCAGAAGCAAAATGTGTAAGAAAAAACAATTGAGTTTTCCCATTTCCCGCTGGAAAGCCGGTCTGACGATGGGCGATTGGTAGTGTAACAGTGGTGTGGTGCCCGACCACAAAGGCGCTGGTGTGTGAGGACATAGTAGGTCGAACGGCCAGAGAATGAAATGCAGGAGACTCAGGGCCAGCGCACTGTGGTAGCTGGAGGGTTACGTTATTTCTCTGGGAACTTGACCCCCATGCATGCAAGTGAGAATAGGTCTCTAGAATGAGCTGTGACCTCAAGAGAGCATGGGCATGGCATGGCTCCAGCTCGAGCCCGTGCTGTGGCATAACAAGATGTCTTTGTTTACACTTCTAGGAAACTTATGTTTGAAGATTTTCGGGACTGGCTTTCTAAGGTTTCCAGCATTGACCTAGAACCAACCATTGACATGTCCTGTGCCAAATACGAGTTCACTGGTAAGGAGGATAAAGCCCTGCCGTCTAAAGATTTCAAGGCTTTAACTCCACGATGATGGAAAGATAGTGTCAGGGTACCAGGTAGCATCAGTCTTCCTAGTAAGGACTTGGCTTATGCAGAAATAGCCATCACAAAGGATAAAGAAGTGCTTCTCTTTGGGTGTATGAGAGTTATTGATCATATTTTCAGGAAAATTCTCATACCAACTTGCAAATCGTATTGTAACACTCTAAAAGGTGATGCTGTAAATTCTGTCCTTATGTTTCTAAAAGTTCCTTAATGCTGTTTTCCCTTTCTTTACTTGAATTTAGTAAGTGAATACAGGAAGTGGACTGTGTAAATAGTTATAGTCCCTGTCACTGCCTTCCGTCTTCAGAAGTTTCTGTTGCCTTCTCCTTCCCCTTCAGAGCTCATAACTTTGTGGAGGAATATGTGTGCCTTTTTATATAGAAGGAAAAATTGCTTGGTTTTGTTTTACTAAATTTTGATTCAGGTTTCCTATTATATATAGTCTTGGAGAAGTCTAAACTGGTAAAATGTTTTAGAGATATACTTAATCCTACATATGAAAACCTGTTATGTATCTTTATTGCCTTTTCTTTTTTATTATTTTATTTTCTTTGAGACAAGGTCTCACTCTATAATTCAGGCTGATCCCAGCCTCACAGAGATCACCTGTCCGTTTTCTTGAGTGCTGGTATTACAGGTGTGAGCTACCACTTGCAGTTTTGTTTTTTGATTTTTTTTTTTTTGGTTTTTTGTTTTGTTCTTTTAGTTCGAAGTAATTTCAAACTCAAATAGAAGTGGCAGGCAGAGCACAAATGAAGGACGTTGCAGTCCTGGGATTCCATAGGCCTGAACATTTCAGTCATCCTTCCTCCATGCAATGGTGAACTCTCAGAGTGAGAAAGTCGACAGGCCTGTGTGTTCCACCTAATTCACAGGCCGCGCTCATCTGTCACTATTTCTTCTTGATGCAAAAAGATCTTGTTGGGAATGGCACACTGCATTCACTTGTCCCGTCCATTGAGCCCTCTTTAGTCTAAAACAGCCTCTTGGTCTCTCCTGAACTTCCGGGACCTGGATGCTTCAGAAGACTTAGAGGCAGTTATTTTTAACAGCCCCTTCAGTCTGGGCTTATATCACCATGTGACTGTGGCTTACCAGTAAGGTTGCATCCATCTGTCTCTGGTGGAGCTACATGGCTTGTCACTGACTTTTTAGTTTTCCCTGCCTAGCTCTGTTCTGCCTTGCTATAGGCCCAAAGCAGTTTCTTTATTAATCAATGGTAATTACAGCATGCAGAGAAGAATCCCACATCACCTTCCCTTTTCTGTCTAAATGAAAAAGAAGGTTTTAATTTTAACGTCATAAAATTATACTCTTGCTTGGCTTCTGTAATACCTAGGATTGTAAGACTTTGCTACCAGGCCTGACTGTAAGGATTTGTAGGAGTCAAGCCAAGAATTTGCACACGCTGCTTTTAGATTATGTTATTAACATGTTTCTTACCAAACTTTGGTTTAATTATTTTCATGGGTAATTTTCATATGGTTAAATTACTGCAAATGATATTTTTCTAGTCGTCATTTCTTCTGCTTTCCTTAGTTGTCGTTCCACTGTAATGAAAAGTTCTCCCACTGTTTATTCATCTGTTTGCTTGTATCAGCATGAATTTGTGAATCGCTAGTCATACAGTGAGCCATTGTGGTTGCTGTTGTTAAAATGAGGCTTATATTGTCTTTGATTTGGCCAAGGAGAACCTCTAGAGCTGATCTGGGGCCCTCTTACTATGTTCTTATCATTCTTTATTTCCTAATTTCTGCAAAGCAGAAATTTTCAAGACTTATCTTCTCTTTCCTATGCCAGGTCTAGAATGACCTAGAATACACCCCGGTTCCTTTTAATGAAGAATGATACTTGAAAGTCAAGGCCTGGACTCAGTCTGTGTCACTGGGGTGTCACCTAGATCCTTTCAGTGAAAATGCCAGAATATGACCCTCTACATATGCACACAAATGTATACACATAACATTTATGTATTTCTATACCTACATAGCTGTAGATTCAGGAAACTGGATTCATATTGCTTTCTCCAGTGCTAGTTGAATACTACAAGGTTTATTCTAGATTTCTCTTCTTTAACTGTAGCACCCAGCTCCCATTATCTTACCCTGTTTACTTACTGGACCAGTCCCTTCGTGTATAAATGGTCCCAGTTCCGTGTAACCTTTGCTCTGTCCCATCCTGCATCGATGCCTACCTTGCTCAGCCCCACCAAATGGCTTTAGAAAGTTAGGTTAGGCAGTGAATGAGAACAGGAACAGGCCCGGCGAGATGGCTTAGTTCAGTGGGTTAAAGGCACTTGCCACCAAACCTAACAATCTGAGTTTGATTCCTGGGACCCGCAGGGTGGAAGAAGAGGACCAACTTTACAAGTTGTCCTCTGATCCACATGTCTTTCCCCTGCCCCCAACACACACAGTAAATAAATGATAAGAAAAAGCCGTTTAAAGAAAAAAGGGATCTGTATACCCCCGAACAGTAAGATTTGTTAAGGCATCTTTTAGAATAGCCAAGAAATACAAACAATTTAAGAACTAATAGAAATGCAATTAGAGAAAAGGTAAATTTACAGTCTATATAGTACAGTAACTGCGGCCATTAAAAGTGATGCCTAGGGTATAAATTGATATGGAAAAATACTCGCTTTGTAATTTTAAGGAAGTCTTTACGTGACTACATATGAGGAAAAAATAACAAAAGTATGTGGAAAGGGTGTTAGTAACTATGTTGTAGATCTGTCTGTAGTAGTTGTGTTTAAAGCTTTCTATATTGAATGGGTTTTATTGCTGCATTTACAAAGGAGAAGTGCCATTTTAAAACTGCAAGACAGTTAAAGCTGGAGTTAATACAGTCAGAGGGACTGATTAGATGCAGAAGGAGACAGCTGCTCTGTACAGTAATCTCAATTACGCTTTCAATGATTGCAGATGCTCTGCTCTGCCATGACGATGAGCTGGAGGGGCGCCGGATTGCCTTCATTCTCTACCTGGTTCCTTCCTGGGACAGGAACTTGGGGGGCACCCTGGACCTTTACGACACTGATGGTAAAATGACATTTACCGCCTTCAGTAGCCGCTCCTGAATTCCAACCATTGCCTCGGATCACCATTCCGATATATAGTGTGTTAAAGGAGTAGAAACCTTGCATTTAGCTGAGTAGTAGTGGCACAGGCCTTTAATCCACCCACCACTCAGGAGGGAGAAGCAGGCAGATCCCTGTGAGTTTGAGGCCAACCTGGTCTACAGAGCAAGTTACACAGAGAAACCTGTCTGGAAAACAAACAAACAAAAGAAACGAAGGAAGAAAGAAACTACGTATTTAGCACAGTGACTAGCACAGGTGGAATTAATGCTGGTCCTAACAATAACCTCCTAAAATTATATTTCAAATACTTGTTCCAGAGACAAAGCTGATTAAGATGAGAAGTAGATCTTGTTCTGTGTTCTGACTGTGCCTGTGAATCTGCTAACAGCAGCCTGTCTCACAAGAGCTTAGATTTTGTGAGTGTCTCACCATAGGTTGACTCTAGGAAAAGGAGAAGCTAATCCAGCTTTCATCAATAATAGAAGCACATGTCACTTAGCAGACTAGCAAGTTTGAAACAGGTAGCAGGGAATATTTGAGAATGTCAAGAGCTGGATGAGGCTGAAAGTGGTAATGATAATGAACCCATTTACGGATGTCTTCTCTTCTGATGCAGAACACTTGCAGCCAAAGCAGATTGTCAAGTCTCTTATCCCTTCGTGGAACAAACTGGTTTTCTTTGAAGTATCTCCAGTATCCTTTCACCAGGTAAATATTGTAAGATGATGAAGTAGTGCACTAGGGTCATGGATTTTTACCCACCCTCTAAGCATGTCAGTCCACTTCCTGCTGGACTTCCTATCTCACTGGGTTGTTTGCATACCTAGCTAATGTCCTTAGATTGTGTCTTCACTCTCCATCCTTTGTTGATGTGCTGCTGGTCTTGCTCTTGCAGGTGTCTGAAGTCCTGTCTGAAGAAACATCACGTTTATCCATAAGTGGCTGGTTTCATGGTCCTCCGTTAACCAGGCCTCCCACCTACTTTGAGCCCCTGATCCCTCGAAACCCTCATATCCCACAAGACGTAAGCATAAGTGATTGGGATTCTTACTTTATGCACCACAGCACCTTAGTTGTTTTTCTGATTTTCCTATTGTGAGGACCATGTGAGCTAATGTATTTTGCAGTACTAGAAATTAAACCAAGGGCCTTGTATATGCTAGCAAACCTGTTTTCTGATCTAAAGTTAGATCTTTTCAGTGCTGAAACTGCACTTTGAACTTTCACTTTTCTTAGGTCAATTTTTCTCAGAATTTGCTAGTACTTTGGGCTTGCTAGGGTGTAACATGATGAGGCCTGGCCTGCTTGTTTGGGTTTTCTGTCTCGCCCAGTGCCCCACAGCCGGCAAGCCCAAAGAAAACCACACAAAGATCTCTATTAGTTATAATGCTGATTGGCCCGATAGGTCAGGCTCTTACTAGTTAACTCTCACATCTTGATATCTTGATTAGCCGATTTTTCTGATCTATGTTAGCCATGTGGCTCAGTACCTTTTTCAGTGGGGCAACTCACATCCTGCTGCTTCGGTGATCTGGGCAGGAGTGGGAGGAATCAACTTCCTCCTCCCCAGAATTCTCCTGCTCTCCTTGCATCATTTCCACTTCCTGTCTGTTTTCCCCATCTACACCTCCTGCCTGGCCAATCAGCCTTTATTTAAAACATGATTGACAGAATACAGACAATTCTCCTGCACCACTAGGGAAAATGTAAAAAGTGAGGAGTATGGAATGATGTTAGCACAGAAGCTATAGATATTAATGGATCTTATGTGTCTGCTGCTTTTTTATAAGCATGAAATTTTGTATGAGTGGATCAACCCTGCTTATCTGGAAATGGATTACCAAATGCAAATCCAAGAAGAGTTTGAGGAAAGGTCTGAAATTCTCCTGAAGGAGTTTCTTAAGGTATGCCGCCATAGCCTGTTGTATGTGTGTAGTTGAGGTGTCATCTGCTCAAACTGACCGAGAGTTGTTTTCCTTCTTGTTCAAATAGTTATGTAATTCTCTTCAAATCAAATGTACAAATTACAGTAATAAGTATTGCTGTCAGGTATGTGTATGTGACATCTCCAGGACACAACATACATTTTTAAGTTTTGTTTATTTATTTATTGTTTTATTTTATTGCCATGTTTGTATGCACACATGCATGTTGGTGCTCAAGGAGGCCAGAAGAGGGCATCATATCCCTTGGAACTGAAGCTACAGGTTGGGGGAGAAGGGGAAGGAGTCCTTCGTAATAAGCACTTTTAACCACTGAACGTCTCTCCTGCCCAGGACTATAATGGTTCATGTGCATGCATGTATGCGCACACACATACACTGTAGTGTGAATTCTAATTGGTCTTAATAATAAAAACCCGGAGTCAGACATAGGAGTAAATACTAAAAGATCAGAGAAGCAGAGCAGCCAGCCACTAGTTCTTCCCTCTACTGAATCCTCAGAGTGAATGGACAATCCTGTGCCTAGGAATCCTCAGAATGCCATGAGCTCCTGTCTCCTCTCACTTTGTATTCCTCTCTCCGCCCAGCCATATGCTGTCTCCACCTCCCTAGTGCTGGGATTAAAGGTGTGAGCCACCACCACCTGGTTTTGGTTCTCTTTTAGACTGGATCAATTTCATGTAGCCCAGGGTGGCTTTGAACTCACAGAGATCTGTCTGCCTCTGTTTCCTGAGTGCTGGGATTAAAGGTGTGCGCCACCACCACCTTGCTCAAAATCTTTAATAATAAATTTCAAACCCTTAGTGGAATAGCCTGATGACACTTAGCTCTCTTAACTCAAGCTACCCCAAAGGTCTTGTATGTAAGAGGAACTATTCAAATGGACCTCTTAGGAATCAGCCAGCTGCTGCTGTGCAGAGCCAGAGGAGGGAGGGTTACAGAAAGAGCTGCCAACTTTTTTATTTGCTTATTTTCCAGCCCGAGAAATTTGCGAAGGTCTGTGAAGCCTTAGAGAAAGGAGATGTGGAATGGAGTAGCCGTGGCCCCCCAAACAAAAGGTAGAGGTCACCATCACAGATGTGTATTCAGTGCCCTCCTTGCGTCTGCATAGCTCTTCTCCAGTAGGACACTTGCCTTAGCATTGAGTTCCCCGGGATGTGCTGCAGCAGGCCCTACAGAGTCTCACCATGCTCAGAAGCTGTGCCATCATTTAGGGAGAAGCTCAAAGTTAATGACAGCTTTGATTGCATGGGTGATCTCACATGTGGGGCTGAGGAGCTTGCCATTGCTGCTTTTCAGGTTTTATGAGAAAGCGGAAGAAAGTAACCTCCCTGATATACTGAAGGAGTGCATGGGCTTGTTTCGCTCCGAGGCCCTGTTCTTGCTGCTCTCCAACTTCACTGGCCTGAAGCTCCACTTCTTGGCTCCATCAGAGGATGATGAGGGTGAGGACAAAGGAGAGGGGGAAGCAGCCTGTGCTGCCGATAGCACCGAAGAAGGGACTAGCCAAAGCCCCTCGGCGCCTGAGAATAATCAGGCAGCTGTTGGCAGCCACAGTCCAGAGAGTGGTGAACAGGCAGACCTGGAACCACAGGAAGATGAAGCAAAGAAAGGTAAGCTGGCGTTCAGACCCGCCTTTATGTTTACTGTTCCGCATTCAAGTGATTTATCCCTAGCTGTGTAACATGCTTCCTGAACATCACTGTCTGTCTCCACCTCGGGACAGGAGAACAAAACACAGTCAGCTCTACTGGATCCATCCCCCGTTAGCTCTTATCAGTAGTCCCAGCTTCTCTTCTGCATAGCTCCCTGGGCCCTGAGGGAGGGTTTGATAAAGGCATCCCACTTAGGACTAAGCATTCCAAAATCTTGGTCTCTTAGTCCCATCTACTGCAAGAAGAAGCTTCTCTGACAATGGTTGAGCAAGGCACTGATCTGTGGGAATAGCAGTATCTGCTAAAGGAACACAACAGTAAAATGACTGCAATATCATTAGGACTCATTATCCTAATACATCCCAACATAACAATAAAACATGTCTGTTTTCATACTAATACCAGGCTGCTTTTTTGTTTGTTTGTTTTTTGTTTGTTTGGGGTTTTTTTTTTTTTTTTGGTTTTGATTTTTTTATCACTATAGCTCTGTAGTACAATTTGAGATTGGGGTAGTGACACTTCCAGTAGGTCTCTTATCATTTAGGATTATTATAGCTATCCTGGGTTTTTTGTGTCTCTGTATGAAGCTAAAAATTGCCCTTTCAATTCTGTGGAGAATTGTGTTGGAATTATAGTGGGATTGCATTAAATCTGTAGATTGCTTTTGGTAAGATGTCCATTTTCACTATATTAATCCTACTGATTCAGGAGGCTGGGAGATCTTTTCATCTTCTGATATCTTCTTCAATGTCTTAAAGTTTTTATTTTAAAACTATTTCACTTCCTTGGTTAGAGTTTGCCCAGGATATTTTAAGGCTATTGTGAAAGGTAGTTTCCCTGATTCTTTTTCTCTGTCTGTCATTTGTATATAGGGGGCTGCTGAATTTTGCGGGTTAATTTTGTGTCCTGCAACTTTGCTGAAGGTGTTTATCACCTGTAGTAGTTTCCTGGTGTAATTTTTAGGCTCACTTATGTATACAGTCATATCATCTGCAAATAAAGATACTTTGGCTTCTTTTCCTATTTGTATGCCCTTGGTCTCATTCGGTTGTCGTTATTGCTCTAGCTAAGACTCCAAGTACTATATTGAATAGATAGGGAGAGAGTAGACATCCTTGTCTAGTTCCTGATTTTAGTGAAAATGCTCTGAGTTTCTCTCTAGATTGATGTTTACTGTGGGCCTGCAGTAAATTGCCTTTATTGTGTTGATGTATGTCCCTTGTATCCCTAATGTCTCTCTCTAACTGCCGTCATAAAGGGGAGTTAGAGTTTGTCCAAGGTCCTTTCTGCATCTAACGGGATGGTCATATGGTTTTTGTCTTGCAGTCTGTTTATATGGTAAATTACATTTATCAGTTTACATATGAATCATCCCTGCATCTCTGGGATGAAACCTACTTAATCATGATAGAGAATCTTTTTTATGTATTCCTGGATCTGGTTTACAAGTATTTTATTGGTAATTTTTCATCTCTGTTCAGAAGGGATTTTCTTTCTCTGTTGGGTCTTTGTGTGACTTGGGTGTCAGGGTAATTACGGCCTCATAAAAAGAATTAGGCAGCCAGGTGTGGTGTCACATGCCTTTCTTCTGAGCACTCAGGAGGCAGGGGCCAGCCTGGTCTACAAAGCAAGGTCTAAGATAGCCAGGGCTACACAGAGAAATCCTGTCTCAGAAAACAAAAGAGAGAGAAAGAGAGAGAGAGAGAGAGAGAATTAAGCAATGTTTTTTTTCACCTTATTATTTCTATTTTGTGAAATAATTTGAGAACTATTGACTTAATTCCTCTCTGAAGGTCTGGTAGAATTCTACTACATCTAAGCCTGGGGCCTTCTTTGGTTGTGTGTTGGTGGAGGCTGTTCGTTTCCCAGCCACCCAGATCTGAAATAATTACACAGAAAGTATATTAATTGCAATATTGTTTGACCAATAGCTTAAGCGTGTTTCTAACTAGCTCTTACATCTTAAATTAACCCATTTCTATTAATCTGTGAATCACTATGAGGTCGTGGCTTAACGGACAAAGTTCCGGTATCTGTCTCCTCTGGTGGCTACATGGTGTCTCACTTACTCCACCTACTTTCTCCCAGCATTCAGTTTAGTTTTCCCGCCTAGCTCTGTTCTGCCCTATCACAAGCCAAAACAGATTCTTTATTCATTAACCAATAAAAGCAACACATATACAGAAGGACTTCCCACACCAGTTGGGAGACTTTTGATTACTGTTTCTAGTTTAGGGGTCATTCGTCTGTTTAAATTGCTTCTATGATCATTATTTAACTTTGGCCAGCCATATATGTCAAGAAGTTCATATATTTCTTTTAGGATTTCCAGTTTGATGGAGTATAGATTTTTATAGTATGTCTTTATGATTCCCTGGATTTCTTCAGTGTCTGTTGTGATGTCCCCTTTTCATCTCTAATTTTACTAATTTGGATCTTCTCTCTCCATATTTTAGATAATTTTGCCAAAGTTTTTTTTGTTTTGTTTTGTTTTTCAATTCTTTGCTTCATTGGTTTCTTTGTATTATTTTTGCAGTTGTTTGTTTCTATTTTGTTGATTTCAACCCTGAATTTCTTTTTCTTAATTTTAAATCCTTTCTTTCTTTTTTCTTTTTAAAGTATTTCTTGCAGTCTACTTTTTGGGGTGTTATTTCTTATTTCTGTTCTAAGCCTTCAGATGTTTTGCTAAATTACTAATAGGAGATTCTTCCCTTTTTAATGTAGACTTTTTTTATGTAGCACTATAGCCTTACCTTTTAGAACTGCCTTCATTGTGTCCCATAGAGCTAATTTGTGTTTTCATTTTCATTCAGTTCTAATAATGTTTTTAATCTTGTTCTTCATTTCTGTCTTGACCCATTTTTTTTCAGTGCTCTTAACCACTAAGCCATCTCTCCAGTCCCTTTCTATTGTTGATATTCAGCTTTAATCCATAGTGGTCAGATAGGATGCAGGGGGGTATTTTAATTTTCTTGTATGTCTTGAGATTTACTTTGTTTCCAAGTATATGGCCAATTTTGGAGAAAGTTCCATGAGCTGCTAAGAAGGTATATTTTTTTGTGTTTGGGTGAAATAGTCTGTAAATATCTGCTGGGTCCATTTGATAATGTTATTTAACTCCAGTATTTCTCTATTTAATTTTTATCTGGATGACCTGTCTATTGGTAGTAGTGGGTGGGGTATTGAAGTCTCACACTATCACTGTGTGAGGATCAATATATGATTTTACCTGTAATATTTTTTTATGAACTTGGGTGCCCTTGTGTTTGGTGCATAAATGTTTAAGATTCCAACATCCTCTTTGTGGATTTTTCCTTTGAGTTTCTGGTGTCCTTCCTGCTCTTTTCTGATCAATTTTGGTTAGAAGTCTCTTTTGTCAGATGCTAAATGGCTATACCTGTTTTCTTCTTAGTCTATTTGCTTAGAATACCCTTTTCTACCCTTTTGCCCTAAGGTGACATCTATTCTTGGTGCTGTGTTGTGTTTCTTGAATGCAGCAAAAGGGTGTATCTTGTTTTCCCATCCATTTTGTTAGTCGGGTCTTTTATTGGGTAATAGAGACCTTTGATATTAAGAGTTACCCATAAGCAGTGTTTATTGATTCCTGTTACTTATTTGTCATGGTGTGGGTCCCCCCCCCCTCCCTTTGTTTGACTGGTCTGGTATTGTTTATTCCTTGTTTTCTTGTATGTGATTAACCTCTTCAGACTGAAGTTTTCCTTCTGGTACCTTCTGTGGTAGATAGATATGCTTAAATTTAGTTTTATTGTGGAATATTTTATATTATCCATTTATAGTGATTGATAGCTTTTCTGGGTAAAGTAATCTGGATTGGCATCTGTGGTCTCTAAAAGTTTGTAAAGCATCTATTCAGGCCCTTCTAGCTGTTAGTCTCCATTGACAAGTCAGGTGTTATTCTAATGGGGCTGCCCTTATGTGTTGCTTGGTCTTTTCTCTTGAAGTTCTTAATAGTTTTTATTTGTACATTTAGTGTTTTGATTACTATGTGTAATGTGGAATTTTTCCAGTCCTGTTTATTTGGTTTTCTATATGTTTGTTATACCTGTATAGCCATTTCCTTCTAAAGATTTTTTTTTCTATTTTGTTGCAAACATTTTCTATGCCTTTGACATGGGTTTCTTCTCCTTCCTCTGTTCTTATTATTTTAGATTTTTAGATAAGGTCTTTTTGTAATATCCCAGATTTTTTGGTTGTTTTGTACTTGGATTTTTGTTTGTTTGTTTGTTTTTATTTTTAGATTTAACATTTTCTTTGACTGAGGTATCCATTTCTTTTACCTTGTTTTGGAGGCCTGAGAGAGTCTTCCATTTCTTGTACTCTTTTGGTGAGGTTTATCACTGAGGGTTTTGTTTGAGTTTCTAAATTTTTCATTTTCAGTTTATCACATTGAGTTTTCTTATATTTTTGGTTGTGAGCCTAGTTTTTCACGGCTGAGTCACTTCTCCAGCCCGAGATCAGGTTTTCTGTAGTGATTCTATTTTAACTTTCATATCTTGAACAGTTTTCATTATTTTACTCCATTGATTTTGTTTTCTCAGACTTCACTAAAATATTTAAGTCCTCTTTAAGGTCTTATACGCTATAATGCTCTATAAGCGTATTTATAGCTGCTGTCTTGAAGTCCTTGTCCTGTGCTTCAGCTGCACTGCATCTCCCAGGGCCTACTGTAGCAGGGATGTGGGGTTCTGGTACAGGCATTTTGTCTTGGCTCTCCATGTTAATGTTTTATGCTGGTGTTTTGGCATCTGTAGTTAATGAGGTGATTCCAGGTGTTGATATCTGGTCTTGTCTTTGTTAGGTGGGTGTTCTATTTCTTGATTTCTGTTGCCCTCTCTGGATCTTAGGAAAGTATGATTTGTAGATGTAAGTTTCTGTCCTGCCTGGGCCACAACCATTCAGTCCCAAATAAACACATAGAGATTTATATCAATTATAAACTGTTTGGCCTATTGTTCAGGCTTATTACTATTTCTTAGAACTTAAATTAACCCATAATTCTTATCTATGTTTAGCCACGGGGCTTGGTACTTTTTCTCAGTAAGGCCCTCTCATCTTGCTTCCTCTGTGTCTGACCTACAACATTGTCTCTGCCTTTCCTCTTTCCAGAATTCTCCTAGTCTGGCTGCCCTACCTATACTTTCTGTCTGGCTCCTGGCCAATCGACATTTTATTAAACCAATATGAGTGGCAAATCTTTACAGTGTACAAGAGCATTATCCCACAGCAGTGTGGTGTGGCTGTGAGTTCCCTGGTAGCTAGTGCTTCTACAGGTCAGTGGGTGGCAGAGAGGAATAGAGATGGGCTGGGATAAAAGGATGAGAGGAGCTGTGAGAAAGAGCTAGGCACGCTCTCCACAGTAAGAGGCAGAGTCCCCAGGGAGTTGGAGGTGTGGTGGGATGAGGGGATCTTTCAAGTAGACTGCAGTAGGACAGAGAATGAGTCTGGAGAGACAGGATGAAAGGGCTAGAAGGACCCTGGGTCTGTACCAAGAGTTGGAGTCATTAGTGAATGGGGACAGGGTGAGGGGAAAGGGCCTCTGCAAGCAGGCTGCGCAGGGCTTGAAGGGGAGGAAGAAGAGACTGTGACGAAGACAAGGTGGGTAGTGGCAAGGGTGTGGCCACGAGCAGGGGCTGGCAGAAAGGCTTTCTATGTATCTGCAGCTAAACTGGGTCCTAAGAGGTGAGGCCCTCAGCCAATGGAGGTAGGGGGAGAGGGGGAGCCCCTGCAAGCAGCTACTGGAGACTTCAGATGAGAGTGGAGAGATCACACTAGAGACCAGAGAGGAGAGAGTGAAACCCAGTGAGAACTGATTACTGCTGACTGTCACAAGGCTTTACTGCGGCCTGCAGCTGAAGGGTTGTGGGAGTGCTTTCCACACGTGTTCTGTCTTCCCTAGTCAGTATTCCCTGCAGTCAAGCATGTGTATTATAGTTGTAAATAATTTGCTGGATGTTGTTTTGTGTTTTCTTAGAGTCAGGTGTTCCCATGTGCCAGGGGGAGCTGAGGCATTGGAAGACTGGTCACTACACATTGGTCCACGACAACAGCAAGACTGAATTTGCCCTGGACCTGTTCCTGTACTGTGGCTGTGAAGGTAGGAAGGAGCAAGGCAATAAATTGTCTCCTTAGTCCAGGCAGCTTTCCAGGGGGACTCCCTCCAGCTGACTTTCCTGTGGGCACACTCGCACAGTTCTAGAGGATGCTGGGGATCCCAAATTAGACTTGTATCTGGGGATGGAAAGGTAGACCATACCTAATTTTTTCCCTAGGTCTCCACCACAACAGCAGGGTCTATGTTTTTTTTTTCACTATAATTGCCTTTATCAGTGTATCTAACATTTAATTCCTTTAATTTTCTCATTCAATGTTAGTAAGTAAGCCTGTATTCCAAGTTCAGCTGTCTGGGAAATGAGGCGTTTAAAGGAAAGGGAATTCACAGCAGCAGAAGCTAAATGCCAGTGCTGAAGGCCCGGAGCCTTGCTGTCCAGGGTGAGCTCAGTGCTGTCTGTCTTTCCCTTGTCAGGCTGGGAGCCAGAATATGGCGGCTTTACTTCCTACATTGCCAAGGGTGAAGATGAAGAGGTAAGGGCTCCCTTCTGATAGCTCGTTCTCCTTTCTAGCTTGAAAAGGTTCTGTTCTTAAAACACCTGGTAATTTATTTGCCTGATGGTTTTGATTTTGGCTTTTTTGAGGCAGGGACTCACTATATGGACCAGGCTGGCCTAGAACTCACTGAATCACCCAGGCTGGCCTCATACTTTCCACAATAATACACCTGCCTCCACCTAGCAAGTGCTGAGATTGCAGGTGTGAACCACCATGACTGGCAAGAAACACAAAGTTTATTACCTCAGTGAGTGCTCTAAGCTGATAAATCCACGTTGGCCTGCCCTGCAGTGGCTCTGATTTTACAAGGACATACTCGGCTTTGAAAGGAAAATCACCAAGCATTGTTCTACCTTACTGAGAACCTATGGGTTAAGAGGCTTCTGCCCACTAATCTTTCTAGGCAGTTGGAAACAAAGGCATTAGGTCAAAACTTTGCTGAGTGTTGCTAGTGAGCCAGAGCCTGCTGGAAAATGTCTTGACAAAGAAAAGCTCATCTCCTAAGGAAGGATCTTTAAAAGACTCCCACACCCCGGCTTAAATAACTCACCGTGGGAAGGGAGTGTGAATGGCTGCAGGGCTGAGAATGAGCTCTGCATTCTGATGTGTCTCATGTTTCCCGTTTCAGCTGCTCATAGTGAATCCAGAAAACAATTCTTTGGCATTGGTCTACAGAGACAGAGAAACTCTGAAATTTGTGAAGCACATTAACCACCGAAGCCTAGAGCAAAAGAAAACCTTCCCAAACAGAAGTGGTTTCTGGGACTTCGCCTTCGTCTATTATGAGTAACAGGGGTGGGCAAAGCCAACTAGCATTCACTTCATCGTGCTGGGAAACCTGGAGTCTTCGTGGAGTGAAGGAAAGCATGCAGGCTAAGGGTGTCCTCCAAAGGGGCTGTCCTTCCTGGCTGTGCTGTGCATGCAAACTGTAACGCCAACCTTAGGAGGCAGAGGATGGAGGGAATCTCCAGTTCCCAGGTCAGTGCGGTCTATACAGTGAGACCCTGTCCCAAAACAAAACAAATCTTGGTCATCCTTTTATGGAACTCAACCTAGATATCAGCCTCCAGCTATGGACTTGTCTCTTGATTCTTTTAACCCCCATCTCTCTCTCACACACACATACACACATACATACACACACACACGCACACACTCAATTCTTTTGGTTCTATAGTGACTGCCTCAGCAACTTCTAACTTTGGTGACTTTTTATTTATTGTGGTAAAATATATGTAACATAAAATTTAGCAGGATAACTTTTATTTTTTGGTTTGAGGGTTTTGTTTTGACAAGGTTTTACTGTGTAGCCCAGGCTAGCTCTGAACTACTGACCCTTCCACCTCAGCCTCCAAGTTCTGGTACCATAGGCATGAGCCACCACCCCCACCAGTGCTTGCATGTACAGGTCGGTGGAATCGAGCACATTGGCTGTGCTCCAAAGCATCCATCACTGCCATCCGTATCCAAAGTGAAACTCCGTGCCTTGTGAATAGTCAGCCTCACTCGCTACTGCCTCTTCTCTCTTGACTGTTTGCCTCATAAGTGAATCATAAAGTATTTATCCCTTCATAATTGGCTTGCTTCATTTAGCACAAAGTCCTCAAGGTTCAACAGTCTTCCCAGTGATTTTTCTTTTTCACTTCTGTGTGGTTGTAGGAGCATGTGTAGTCCAGTTTATGCTGAGTCTGAGAGCTATGATGGTTTGAGTCATCACACTGCTCCCCACTGTGGCCTGAGTTCCACCCTGGCTCTCAGGACTGTTTACTCACGTGGGTATTGTTGTTTCGTTGGGAAAGGTCTGGCTGAAAACTACCATGGCCCTGGGAATTATGTGGCTGAGAACGAGGACAGGCTGCTTACTACCCTATGTATTTACTCACAGGTATCTACCACAGTGGTTCTCAACCTGGGGTCTTGACTCTTTCACAGAGGTCAAATATCAGATATGCTGCATATCAGGTACTTATATGATTCATATCAGTAGCAAAACTACAGTTAAGAAGTAGCAGTGAAATAATTTTATGGCTGGGGGTCACCACAATGAGAGGAACTGTTTTAAGGGTTTGCAGCGGTAGGACAGTTAACCGCTCATCCACTGCCTTCCAAACCTAGAGCTGTGGCTTCTGTGAGTCTAGCCTCCCAGTGACCATGTTCCTTAATGCTGGAGGGCCGGATGTAAATGTTATTGCCTTTTCCTTCCTTTAAAGACTACCACTAGAAAGCCGAGTCAGAGTGACAGGAAGCCCTCACTCTGCTTCCGCTCTTTCCTGCTCTGCCCTATGGGGCTGTGACATAGCTCTTCCCACAGTAGCGTACACACGTCCGTTTGCTGCTGTCTCGATTTCTGTCTGTCCTTGCAGGTTTCAGTGTGGACTTTACTAATAGGAAAAGCACTGGGCCTTTACATTTCTCATCCACACTTCTCTTTCGTGTCTGTCTGTTCACAATGATGGGCTCAGTTTGTTTGCTTTGTTCCATTAAGTAAAACACATTTAACATCATAGCCTAATGGATACTTACAAGTCTTAGGTGTTCTCATATTAAGCATAAAAAAGTAATTTTTAAATAATGATAAGAATATCCAGACCTAACTTGAGGAGGCATGAAACTTTAATCCCAGCTCTTAGGAGGTAGAGGCAAGATCAAGAGTTTTTCCCTCAGCTACACAGTGAGCTCAAGGCCAAGCTGGGCAATAGTAGACCTTGTCTCAAAATCAAAGGAAGTTCGGGGAGAGCTGCCACATCTTTATCCCAGCACTCAGGAGGCGGAGGTGTGAGTTTGAGACCCTGTTTCAACAAGAAAGAAAGACTATCCAGAGTGAGTTTGAGGGCTGTCTTCCCATGCCAGGCAGTGATGGGCATTCTCCATGTACACTGCTTTGGACTCCAGCAGTATCAACCACAGTACTGCTCAGGAAGGACTACACATACTTTGTTGCTAATGGTGAATTTTGAAGCCTGCGCTTTCTGAATTGCTGCAGACTAAAGGCAGGTACCCCCTCCTTCCTGTTTGGGGTACTGGGACTCCGATCCAGACTCGCTATACCTCCAGTCATTCTTGCTTTCTTCTGCCTTGTTTTGTTTGATTTTTCTGAGACAGGTACTCACACTGCAGGCCAGGCTGACCTTTAACTCAAGGCCCTCCTTCCTCAGGCTCCTCTGTGGCAGGATTACAGCAGGATTACAGATTAAGCTACTGCATCCAGCTCCCTTGGTTTCTGATGTGTCCTCATGAGTTGAATTTAGCTAACATTTTGTTTGTGGATTAACTCCACGAAGACCCAGGGAAAGTGCTAAAGAAAGCATCCTATGAGCCAAAGCATTTATCTCTTAGCATTATCCAGCACCACCCACCTTGTCCAGTTCTGGAGACCTGTGTCTGAATCTTTAACTGTCCCCTTCATCCCCATCTGCTTATGGTCTGCCACAGCAGGACCTTTATAAGACTGGGCTGAAATGCTCAGAGGGTCTTTCTGCCTCTGTTGAGCCTCCTGGCCTGCAAGAACAGAACCTGTAGATTGCTTTTCTGCTCTGATGACAGTTGCTTTTTGTCATCTGTCATGTGCCATATTATTGATGTTTCAGTGCGATAAATGACATATGACAGTGAGCCCGTAAGTCTACAGTGGAGCTGAAATATTCCTATACGCCAGATCGCTCATGGTCACGGTGACAACAGGCCACCTGTGCTGCCGCTGCATGAGAGCACAGCGCATGCAGCTGTGCACAGAATGGCTGATGCAGGCCGCCATTTTGTGTGTTCATTACATACTACCTGCTCAGAGTGCACTGCTAAGGCATTAACTCCCATGTGGCTGCAGGGAAGTCCTTCCCAAGGTACTCCAGAGGCAGGGCGGCCATGGGGGCTGGCGTTTCTGTGCATATTACTGCCCTCTGAAGATCACAGTAGAACAGACACAGGGGGAAGGCAGTGATGAAGATGACAATCATAAGTGTGTGAGCCTCAGCCAGTGTGTGTGTGTGTCTTAGTTTTTAATAAAAATTCAGAAAGTTTTTTAAAAAATTGAAAATAACTTGGAGGAAATATTTTTGTACTGTTATACAGTGTAAAGTGTTGTTATAAGTCAGTTATAAAAATTACAGTTTAATATAAAGGAGTTCTATTCCGTAAGCTAAGGCTATTGAACATAGAGTATTTTTAACGTGTTGCACAGGTTGGGAGCCTGAAAGCTTCCGCTTGTCTGTCCAGGTACACTGTCGGGTTTGCATAATGAACCTGCCTCAGCTCATGACTCTGCTTCATTCCTGATCCTAACTGACTGCTGCTTTGGGCATGGGGCAAGAGTCAAATGTGGATTCTCAATACCTCTTCTTGATAAAAGCTATGCTACTTTCTGTGTGACCAATGAATGGCATGTTTCTTTTTGTCCTTAGTAGTGAGCCTCTAACTCCTTTTTACTTTGTTTTCTTTTTTATTGGTGTTTTGAGAAGGCTCTGTGCACACCTAGCTCCCCATCTGCTAAGAATGCAGAAGTATAGCACCGTCTATGAGCTTCCAGGTCTTGTACTCCTTTTCCTCAAGGTGGGTCTCCCCCGAAGACAACAGCTTCCTATCTTTTCAGATTATATAAATATGCATGTTCATTGTTGAGAAATTAAAACAAAATGAAAATTGTGGAAAAATACAAAAGTCAGTTGAAATCTCCCCCTGCGACAACCCCTTGTTGTTTTGAGTGCCAACATGGCTGCCCTGCACTGTTTTAGGGAGCATGGTTCCTCTCTGTTCTCTCTGCCCTCCTCCTGTTGGGAAGAGACAAAGACAAGGGTCTAGGCAGCCTTGCAGGCAGGGCTCTGACAGAGTGACTTAAGGCCACCACTGCACACAAGTATCAACAGTTACCTGCGTGGTCCTTAAGAAAGTCTCTTTCAGGTCCTTAGAATGAACACAAGCAGCCAGTGATGCATTTGGAGATCTGCCAATAGACCGCCTTGAAACTTGTTTTTTCTTAATATAAATTTGTTTACACACATCTTTGAATGATTAAAAATTTTGAATGTCTGTATTTTTGTTTTTCCCCACAAAATAAAGATGTTTTGTGCATTTCTGTTATGGTGGTAATTTATAATCAACAAGGACCAGTATCTTTTATTTTTAATGAAAAAGTAAATACTCCATTTCATATTTTAAAATTCAATTACAATTTCAAGGAGAAAGGAGACAAAAGTTTATATAAAAGAACAAGCTAAACTCTGACACCCTGATATTTTAAGGTAGTCACACTATTTCATACAAATCAGCAACAGTATTACAGATGTCAAATGAAAGGAGACTGACTTTCAGATGAACACCTGTGTTTAGTTATATACGTTACAGTGGTTTTCATTCTTAGCAACCTGGATTCACCAGGATGTGACTGGGAGCAAATCAGCCTGGATTTCTAGACATAAACCATTTACAGGAGCTTCCTTCCTTGGTCTTGCTCTCCTATGAAGGAGCAGTCCCCACCCGCATGATTCTGAAGAGTGTGTTGATGTTGTTGCTTCGAATCGCATCCCTGCAAGCACTGATCACCTGGTTCTTCGGCTTTCCAACTGTGTAAGAAAAAACATCAAAAGGGAGATTAAAAGCCAAGCCAGGCATAGTGGTGCACACCTTTACTCCCTGCACTTGGGAGGCAGAGACAGGCAGGTCTCTGAGTTTGAGGCCAGCCTGGTCTACAGAGCGAGTTCCAGGACAGCCTGAGCTACAAAGTGAGACCCTGTATCAAACAAACAAACAAAAAAAAAAAAAAAAGAAAGAAAGAAAGAGAGAAAGAAAAGAAATGAAAAGTCAGTTTGAAGACAGCATAAAACCAGGGTAGAAAAGAGTTGCATGAGTTACATAAATTTTACTAATGTGTTAACCTAGAAAAGACTGAATTTATTACAAAACAAACTTGGAGAGCATCTCAAGCCAGAATCCAAGCAGGTGTGTATAGCTGAATCAGTGCTCTCACACTCCCAGTGAAGACCACTCAAGAGGCCGGAGCACTGTCAGAACAGCAGCAGCTTGGGCTGGTTACTGCTTCCTGTGGGTTAGCCTGTTCTCCATACTTCCAAAATGGACACTTGGCTAGTTAGTTTTCAGTCTTTTTCTTTTCTAATTTAAGACTATTCACTTCCTTTGGATTATAAACTGCTGGGGTTCAGCCTTGGCTCGGGTTCAGGTCCTGAGGCAGGGAAGAGCTATCAGTGCAAGGAAAAATTCTAACCACCAGTGGATTGCCCTCAAGTGTCCCTGAATATCAGATCAAGCTGTCTTTATTTATACTTAAACAGTGTTTTTTGCTTTTTTTTAAAAACCAAGGTTACATGAACAGCTTTATTATTGGCTCCTATTTTGATTTAAGAAATACTTCATATTTTTAGAAATATACCATAATTATTATTAATGCCCCCACTGATTTCCTTTATACTTCCCCAAACATATTTTCCCACCCCCTACATAACCTTATTCTAGATGTAGAATTCAGCAGTTTTGCAGGTCTAATTAGATATCCATCCAGACAGGTGTCTCTTATGTCAGCTAGCAGTGACTTGGGGTTACAAAGTTAAAAAGTAACAGACATGGGTACAATGGTTTAAAGACAACAATATTTAAACCCAAACAATTCTTTTGTGTCTTAAAGATATGCTTTTATTTATTTATTTATTTATTTATTTATTTATTTATTTATTTATTATGTATACAATATTCTGTGTGAATGCCTGCAGGCCAGAAGAGGGCACCAGACCTCATTACAGATGGTTGTGAGCCACCATGTGGTTGCCGGGAATTGAACTCAGGACCTTTGGAAGAGCAGGCAGTGCTCTTAACCACTGAGCCATCTCTCCAGCCCTTAAAGATATGCTTTTATACAGTTCCCTTTTCTACAAGAGGGTCCCATGTCTCAACCTCTCTATAAAAGGCAGACTTTGATAAGGCACTCTTTTCTGATCTTACTATACCAGTACTTCTTCCACTAATATAAGCTCCTGTGTATGGTAAAGATGGGTCTCTCCATCCCACATTTCACACTGTATTTTTCCCATTGGATCATACTAGGTTCTGTCGTTGATTCTATGTGTTTGGTGTCCAGAGAACTTACTCTCAACAGTTGATACTATGTGTATTTCTGAGGCCTTTTCCCTTTTCTGTGTGTGCAAGGCCTATTCTCCTTTCCAGAACTGTGAGACATGGCTAATGTTCCAAGTGCTGTTTCCTCATATGTACCTAACTGTCTCTGTTGAGTCAAAAAAGCTCCCAGGGTTAGGAGTTGTAGTTCGCAATTTCAGGTAAGAGATTTGAGAAGCCTTAGCCCCTTGTTGAATCTTAGGAGAAAATATTCGAGAAAGCACAGAATTTCCAGAGAAAATTACAGCTATTCCAAGTAAAACTAAAAACTGCCCAAAAATCAATATGGAGAAAAAAGAACCTGCAAGCTACATGAACTTTGCAATTCCTGCACTGTCCTGTGAACTATGATCCTTGCCAAGTGAGAGTCCGTTTCCACGGGTGCCTTGCCCAAGAAACCCACTGGACAGGTAGTCTTATGCTGATCCAACACCAGGCTGCATGCTCCCATCAATAAACACTAAGTTTTCCTTGAGAACAGTGGTTCTCAACCTTCCTAATGCTGCGACGCTTTAATACAGTTCCTCATGTTGTGGTCACCCTCAACTATAAAATTATTTCCTTGCTACTTCATAACTGTAATTCTGCTACTATTATGAATCGTAATGTAAATGTCTGATATGCGGCCCCTGTGAAAGGATCATATGGGTTGCCACCCACATGTTGAGAGCCACTACTTTAGCAGCTACCGCAAGATCTTAGAAAAGGAGCTCTGGGCTTTATTTCTTTTGTGTTTCATTTTCTTTTTTGAGACAGGGTAGCTCTGGCTGCCCTGAAACTCACTTTATGACCAGATGGCCTCAAACTTACAAGAAATCTGCCTGCTTCTGCCTTCCGAGTACTGGGATTAAAGGCATGCACCACCATGCTTCATAAGACTTTTTTTTTTTAAATCTGTCTGGAGGAGACTAAAGCCTTGGTCCGAGTGAGAGAAACCCAGGTGCAGCCAGCTCTGGGGTGTTGAAGGCAGGCTGCTTTAGGATCCACTGTGAACTACAATCTTCCGTAATTGTCATCTTTCAAAACATCAAAGACAAATCCCAATGCCAGGAAAGACTCACCACGAAGACGGCCTGCTCTCTGGATTGCTTGGTTCACGGCCTTCAGGTTTCCTAGCAGCTCTGTGTGGTTGTTACATCGAATCTTATATCCGTTCAGCAGATCCTTATTAAGGTCATAGAGTTCCATATAACGATTCTTCATTGTCTTCCTGTGGAAATCAGTAGAAGCCTAGTATTATGACTTAACAGTTTTTAGTCACATTTAAGAAAGAAAACAGCCAGGTACAATGACACACATCTGTTAATCCCAGCACTTGGCAGGCTGAGGCAAGAGGATTATAAATTCAAAGCCAGCCTGGGCCACTAGTGAGATGCTATCTCAGAAGAACAGAAGGAAGAAAGGAGAAAGCATGTTTTTAGTTGTATGCATCAATATTGACTAATTACTGAGGTTTGCTTTGACAACATCCAAAAGTTTCCATCAAAATATCCTTTTTCTTGCAGATAAATAGAAAACCAGTGAGGTTTCTGAGCAATTGGTCCATGGTTTGTTTAGATTTAGAAGCTTACCTCCCTGGGGTCAGCAAGGTAGTAGCTGGCTTTAAGTTTCAAATTAGTAATTTATTAAATAAAGAGGCCTATTAATAAAGTATTTCCAGAGAACAGACTCGGCTTCATATTTTATAAAGTTTAAAAAACCATGAGCTAGTGAGATGACTCAGTGAATAAGGGTCCTTGCTACCAAGCCTAGTTAATTTGAGTTCAATCCCCAGAACCCACATGATAGAAGAACTGGCTCCTGCAAGTTGTCCTCTGACCTGTACACAATGTCCAGTAGCATGCACATGCGCGCGCACACACACACACATAAGCAAAATGAATGTAAAAGAAAAATTTAAAAACACAACAAAATATTCCTATACAACAATGAAAATGATTTAAGTAAAAATCCTGAACTGAAACTCAGTGCAGTACTCAATACAAAATGATAGTTTCTCTGCAAACTTGGCAGCTTCGTACATGCAGCTTTATTTTCTCCATACTCTGTTTAAGAAAAAAAACCCTCAGTTCTTTTTCTAATCTTGTTACATAGTTATATAAACCAGTAGTCCTAGTCCAAGAGAAGCAAAACTGTGCGCATAAACCAGATGGTGGCGCACACCTTTAATCCCAGCACTCAGGAGGCAGAGACAGGTGGATTTCTGTGTTTGAGACCAACCTGGTCTACAGAGTGAGTTCCAGGATAGCCAGTCAGATACACAGAGAAACCCTGTCTTGAAAAATCAAAAACAAAAAAATGCATGTCTATGAAACTCCTGTACAAAAATGTAACCACCCAGTTAGGGAACACAGATATCCACCTCCTGGCGAAGGGATAAACTGACTACAGGTCTCTGTGTGGCAGAGTATTCAGCAATAAAGAAAGAAAAAACTACTGACACATTCAACAACATAGATAAAACTCAAAGGCTTGATGGTAAGTGGTGAAAAGCCCAGCTTCAAAGGCTACATGGTGTGACGGTGTGAGGAAGAGTAAGACGTGGCCCCGGAGACGGGGGAAAGAAAAGGTATCAAAACAGAGCCCAAAGGAAGAAACATTTCACAGCCCAATTTTAATAATAATCAGGGAAATTTCTGCGAATTGATTTCTATATGCATATTACAAGCTATGTATGTATCAACCCTATTTACATAAATTAGAATGTGTGTGTGTGTGTGAGAGAGAGAGAGACAGACAGACAGACAGAGAGATAGAGACTGCAAGAGCAGGTAATAAAGGATCCTGAGAAGAACATGGGTTTGTGGACACCTCACTCCTCCAGGAAGGAGCCTCACCTGTGTGAAATGCTAAAGTTACCAATATCAGAGAAACAGCAGCACAAGCTGAAGACCCAGAAGTACTTGGCTAATTTACAGGACACATCTGAAAATTCTTTTGTTTGCTTG